TAAATATATATATATAAGCAAAAAAGTAAAGAAAACAAAGTAAAATTGTATTTATAAAATAACGAGAAATCAAACAATAAGTGGGAATGTGCAGCTGACACATTGAGGACAAATTTATTATATGGTTTTAAATATGATTTATCCATYGCTGGCATTCGTCATGGAAACTTGAAATACTACAGATTTAGTATATATCAAAAGAAATATTGTTAAAATTGAAAATAGATCGTATTTTTTCACATTTGCAACTATTTTTCTACAGTTCAGTTAGGCTGATCCTATCCTGCCTATGATCACATTGAGATCGTATATACATAGCTGATAACTTCCATATTTTTGCTAATCGACTTCCAAATAACTCAGTTCACTAATCATTTAGTTAATTAATTACAATTACCGATTCATTTAATATTCGTGACTGTACATTAATTTGCAAATTGTTTACGAATTGCCAATTAGATATGAAACTGATATATAATTTTTTGTATATGAACGTATTTTATATATATATATATTTATATAGACTCAACAAAAATCGAAAATGGTATACATATTTGTTGTGTTACAACACCAAATATAATTATTTAATGGGCAAACTTTTAGAAAGTGCATAGTTAATTACTTCAAAWATATATATGTATATGTGTATATATACTAATGTATATATGTATATGTAGTACTTGACTAGGGTTAGATATATACATATATATATACAAATATATACATATTCATATTCATGCATACATACCGTATTAAGAGGACACAAGAGAAAAATGATATAGGCATTATTAAATAATAAAAATTGATTTAATTTTTAAAAAGCCATCCATTGCCGTTATATATTTGTGTATTTTCATATATTATATATTTAGATGCACTGTTTCTAAATTGAAATTTATAATATGTGGCAACGCCAATATTTATGCGATATTTGTTGTAGTCTATCGATAACATAAGCCAGCCCTACTTGCGTATCGAGTGTGTGTTGATATTGAGCGCCTCATTTGAATTTTCTTTGTCACAAAGCTTTGAAGCGCTGACTTTCTGCATCGTCGATTGGAATGACTGCTTCTTTATTTTGTGTTCCGCATAAATTGTAAACAAGTGTTTTAAATGCCTGTAATCATCGTATTTCAATTTTACCATTTGAAGCATAATGTACACTTTTTGTTTGTTTGTTTATTATTATAATACATAAATATGTAGCTCATTCTATTGCAGTGTAAGTCGAAAGTTGTCAGTGAATTAGGTGCATTAAATAAAGATTTCGTTCATTCGAAGCCGACTTCTGAGCTGTACGTGTAAAGCGTGTGTTGGCAGGCAGTGCGGCCGGCGTTCTCCAACCACTCAAATAGATAGACGATGGGTGGATGGGGTCACCTTAGTGGTATTTGGCCACTGGGAAGGTGCGTGTCTGGCGGCAGGAGACGAGCGCATCGCCTGTCTGTCCTTGTGGACAGCGGCAGACCGCAAGATGTGCCTTCGCCTGGCAACTGGCGCCGGTGGCGCACTTGCCAATGCACGGATCGACGCACTGGTAGTTGATGCAGGCCCTGTGGTCCGGGCACTCGTTGTTGCTGAGGCACTCGCCCTGTGCGGAACACAAAATAAACATATATATATATACATATATATAGTAGTTATTGACTTACGCGTGAGCAATGGGAGAGCGGATTGCCGGTGTGGCCAGGTAGGCAGTTGCAGACGGGTCGCTCGCGTCCGGTGTTGTCGTGGCCGGGCACACAGATGGCATTGGTGCCGCACGGATTCGGCTCGCATAGATCCTCCTTGGTGAAGGGGCGACAGCGCACGAAGGGATCGCCGGTCATGTCGCGCGGGCAGCTGCAGACGGGCGTCAAGCCGCGCAGATTGCAATCGGCACCAATGCCGCAGGCGCCGTCGCAGGTGTTCTTGCAGATGCCATAGAAACAGGCTGGCCGGCCAGCCGGGCAGTCCGAATCACCATAGCATTCCGGTCGGCATTCCGTATACGGGCTACCAATATAGCCCTTGGGGCATTCGCACACGGCCCGGTGATTCGATACCGACTTGCAATTGGCGCCGATGCCACATTGGCCACACGAGGGCACACACTTGAAATTGCTGCACATATCGCGTCCGCCACAATCGCTGTCTCGCTCGCACTCGTGGCGACAGCCGCTCAACGGATTGCCCAGGTAGCCATGCAGACAGGAACATGTGGGCACGCCATTAATAATCTCGCATTTGGTGTTAATACCGCACGGGCTCGGATGACACTGCTCCTCTGCAAAGAAGTGCAAGATTTATGAATTTCCGGGTGAAGAGATGTGTATAGGGTAATATATGCGGATAGTTTATAAAAGGTGTACCATTTCAACGATATCAACTGGAAATTTTATCAGAAATTTAAATTGCTCTAATTAACTTGTTAGTTATTTCAAATTCATTTGTCTGGTTTTTATACGATAATTATATTTGAGCAGCTGTTTTAAGTTATCGATAGGTTCTAGCATTTTGAATATCAAATAGGATTTGCTAATTGGATTCGCCTTCCTGCAGCCAATACGATTTTTCAATTGATCTCTGCCAATAGCCAATAAGATTTTATACTTGGATTGGTKTTGAGCGTTCCGATATTTGAAATAAGTTTCTCTTGCTAAGGCTTTCTTATATGTTGGAATATAAACGGAAAATTGACTTTAAAAAATGATTTTAATATTTATTTTGTTGCTTGTTAAAAAATGCAAAGTCTGTCAACTTTAAAGGTAAAGGGCTTTAAAGGTTTTTGCAAATCAATAAAATTGAATAATTGACTCAGTTTTATGAATATATTATTTATATGTACATATATTTGTCAGCATCGACAGCATTTAAATAAATTTCCAATTTGCATGAAAATGTATTTGAAATCTGATTTATTAGCATGTACAATTAGCATTTGGCTTAAGCCCATAAATTGAGGGTATGGAAATATGTATGTACATATATGAACATATAAATGAATAATATAACACATACATATGTATATGTATATACGCTATATTATGTATGTAAATCATATTTACATATATATAGATTGGCCATTTGGTGAACTCTGAATAGTTTAGTCAGCGGCTGTTGGGGTCATTCCGGCTAGATGAAGCAGAAATGTGGGGAACTGGAGCCACAACGGAGCAGTTGGCAGTTGAAGCATAGTGGAGGGGGGAGGGTGGTAGGTGGTGATACGCGGTGCGTATCAAATTGAGGAGTTCTATAAATAAATATAAGCATTTGGCTCTTAGTTGACTTTTTCTTAGCCATTGCAGCGATTATGGCCCAACTTTTGTCATGGCAACAAATACCAATTTGGAAACTTGCCTCCATTGTAATCATAATCATCATCATCAATGAATGGAATCACATACAGAGTGAGTATGTGTGAGAGAGAGAGAGAGGGAGAGAGAACAACAACGAACTGAGCGCTTAAGGAACTAAGAAACAGAAAATTCCAACTGGCTACGCATTTGGCAAGGAACGGAACGGAACGGAACGCAACGGGAAGGAAAGGAAAGGAACGGCACGGAGAGGAGAGAAAAGGAAAGAGCAAATTATAAGTAAAAATTATGCGCATAAATGAGCTTTGACTACTTATGTAGTATTTGAACAGGGTCAGAAATGTGCGGCAATGGCCCCAATGCCGATTTATTCAGTGCCATTTCAAGTGGGTCGCAGCCTAACTAAAACTCCTGCTCGTATTCTCACTCCATTCCCACACTCCCTCTCCCTCATCCTCTTGCACTCCTCCAGTAACAATTATTTGCGCTTTGTTGCTGTGCTCAAGTGCGTGTGAGGATAAGTGCGAGGTGTGTGCCTGGCGCGTGGAGCGGCTATCCTTAGGGGGTCAATGCCGGGGACCCAAAGACCTGTACATGAATAACATGACCCTGCATAAATCACACAATAACCAAACAATAGCAGCACCATCATGCCATCAACAACACAGACTAAAACAATAACATCACAATTTCCATAGACGACTAATATTATACCCTATAATGGGACAGCTTGCGAAAAGCTTTAAGCTCATTAGACTTGAGGCTAAAGGTTGTAAGTTATAAAAGCTAGGCCTTATCAAGTTTTCTCCATTTGCAGGCTATCGCTGCTATGCGGTTATCGATAAGTACAGTTATCGATAAGTGCGCTCGTAGTCCAAAAGTCTCTGCTTTCTTAGCTATAATCATATGCATACGTATATCTATATATACTTTGTTGATGCTAGATATCGATACATGATAACTATGCCTATCGATTAATTATAAGCTATGCGATTTTTGAGATCAGCTCGAATTTAGTTAAAAAATATGTCAAATAGCTTTGCGTGTTATTATCGATAATTATAAGCATAGCTATCTTTCATAGTTATCGATTATTTATAACTTACAATTTCCTATATTTACTGTCTGATTCATGCTGCACCAAACTGTTTTCAATAATACCAGTTATCGATCTCTAAATATATCGGTTATGTGTAGGTCAACAATTTAGCGTATTTAATAATTTAAAAATCTAAATAGACGTGAACTGTGATATTGAAAATGATTAATTATTTAAGATTATTAGGAATTTCGAATATATCTCGATTGCTGTAAATCGATTATTGAATCGAAGTCAAACCAGTTCACTGAAGAACCTTGCCCTTGCTCAATTAGATTTGAAATACCTATATATAACTCAGTGACTGACTTGCAGATGCCCTGTAATTGCAATATATTTTATTTACGTATCAAACTGCTTCATCGTTCGGCTATGCCCCTACGGCTGACTGTTAGGGCAGCAGCTGCTTTAAACGGGTATCGATTCGGACTCGCTTCTGGTTTGCTACGCTGTGTCGCCTTCGCCTACTTGGCCTGTCCTTGATCTTGACAATTACGTAACGAAATACTCAGCTAATTACCATAATGTTACAAAGAGCAAGTGCGTCTCTCATATTGGGCGTATAGTGTTGTTGTTGTTGCTGTTGTTGTTGTCATTGTTTTCGTATTGTATTCAGCGCAAATATTATGCATGGCAGCAAGTCAACCTACATACGAATGTTTATATATATTGCGACCTAGCCCCAAAGAAGGTAATTTTTGGTCAAAACCAGTTGATTGACTTTTCAGCAATTGACAACAATGGCAATAATAATAACTAAATATTATTGTTGATACAGATATGTGTATATGTGGAAGGTATCGATGCAACTATTTCTGAGCTGAGGCTGGGCTTGGCTGGGATTTGAGCTCGGATTTGCCTAAAGTATTTATGCAGTACATATTATGTACATATATATTTTTGGTAAACCTATTTAGTTAGTTTAGTGCAAGACTACAGTGCAAGGTACATCATATTGGCAGAGCTTGGTCAGATTGTTCATTTAATATTGTATATAGAAAATGAACAACTTGTCCCCTGACAAGTCTTGCTATGCCAACTGCAAAGCTATAGGAGTTTTTCCAAGACATTTTCGACAACTGCGTTGCTAAAGATAAAAGCTAAAGTTTTCCGAATAAGCTAAGACGGGTTATATCTAGCGATTTGAAGCTGTTTTACAAAAATCTATCCTCAAGATCTGCTGGATCTTGGCCTAAAATAAATGTATGAATGATCACAAAAGCTCTAACTGAATTTACTATTCCCTAAAATCTGGATATATACACTCATGATGAAAATAATAGGTACACCCCTTCAAATTTATCTTTAATGAGTTTAATTTGGCAAAACATTTTTTCTACTACCCAGTATTTTTTTTTTTTTTTCAAAAATACCAAAATTTAGCTAGTTATGACAAAATCTCCAAAAATACTTTGGACTACTTATTATTTTCATCACAAGTCACACTAAGAAATATATGCTAGATATATCTCTAGCTGAATTTACTAAGCCTCAAAATCTATTTCTTACCTAGATATATATTCTATGTTAGCATGACGTAAAGCTCCAAGAAGAATATATTTAATTAACTTCAGTTTAGATTAAGTTGCCTAGAGGGTAGCATAAGTTATATTAATAATRATCAATCAATCAGTCAAAGATCAATACAAATATATTCAGAATTACAGCTCTAACTTCTATAGCTCCATAAAATATATATCAATGAGGGAAAAGTATATTGGGTATATCAATATAGACATTTCAAGGCCCTTGAAGATATTACAAGACTTTTGTGACAAAAGTTTTGTCTACAACGAATTCCAAGTCTGCAGTTCTCCCTAAAACCAATATGCTCGCTTCGCTTAATGAGCGAGTATTGTGGAAATAGCCTAGAGTGGCATCAGCTTGCCTTGGCGCAAGCAAAGTAAGCAAACAGCTAAGATCTGTGGGAGGACCATTAGGGGACTCGAGCTGGAAAACTCTTACCTGGATCGTTCAGGTGGCAGGCGGTGTACGGATCGCCATTGTAGCCAGCTGGGCAGCTGCAGACGGCAACATGATTTCTGGCCTAAGGGATAGAGTGAAACAGATAGATGAAAAACAATTTGTGGTTGAGCTAAATGGCCAGCAATGGATGCATTCATTGGCCAGGGATGGCAGCACTCACCTCACAGTTGGAGCCAATGCCGCAGGCGCCGACACAGGGGTTAACGCAACGATTATCCTTGCACTGGAGGTCGCCGCGGCAGTCGACGTTGTCCAGGCACTCGCCGCGATTGCAGTGCGTAAGCGGATTACCGCTATAGCCGGGCGGGCAGGAGCAGACCGGACGGCCGCCGGCAGCCTCCTGGCAAATGGCATTCACGCCGCACGGACTTCCACTGCAGCCATAGGTCTGGGCAGCTAAAGGAGGTGGGGGGGCGGACGACGGGGGGTTGGAGCAAAAGAGGTGTGGAACATTGCATAAAGGTGTCTCTTGGTGCATTGTGATATGCTAATTTACACTAAGCGATTAACTACGGATGTACATGAGTGTGAGGTCAGTGTGTGTGAGTGTGTGTGTGTGAGAGTGAGAGGGGTATACAGGAAGTGCGTGTGTGTGTTGTTAATGATGGTAACTCATTGGGTAAGACTCTCTTCTATATTAGATATATCTTGTATAACTCTAGATTAAATACAGTTGTTACACACACATACATATGTATATATACATATACATATATACATATATAGTTTAAGGTTGGGTCAGTAGTTGGTGCTCGTCGGTTAGCATAGACACAAAACTTGTGCTCTTTAGAATTTAGGATTTGTAGTTGTTTTTGTTTTTTTTTTAAATACCACGAGTGTAGACCGGATCTTGGTAGATAACACGCTGCAGGGAACGGCCATCGCCGTAGGTGTAATACGTACGATATGAGCAGTTGACACAGCGCTTCTCTAACTTTTTGCCAACTGTACTCTGGCAGACCAGGGCCAGTAGTAGCAATGCCACGCCCAGAAGCTGAGATGGCTGCGGAAGCTGCAAAGAGAGAGGGAGAGAAAGAGAGAGGGAGAGGGAGAGAGAGAGAGAGAGAGAGAGAGAGAGAGAGGGGGGAGAGAGAGAGGAAGAGGCAGACAGAGGAGGAGATGGAAGAGAGTTATTAAGAATTGATTTCAAATATTTGATTATCTTCTACTTTCATTTAGTGGAATCGCTTGTGTAGTCGACTAGCACATACTCTATAAATATACTATTTTATATCTATATCATA